TGTTTCATTTGTGTCTTAGTTGGGATTCTCACAGGTGCAAATTCCAGAATCTAAAATATGACTCTTAACAAAATGCTAGCTCACAATTCTAGGGATTTTATGAATGAACACTGGCTTCAAATAAATTAATATGAAAGCTCAATCATGCTGCATCGCTAACACTACTCTGTATGCCATCTGTACCTTCATTTGCATTGGATGCATCCTCAAGGATATTACCAGATCTTAGACAAAGCAGTCATTGTCAGCTTCACTTTACATAGCCATAACACCCTTTTCTTCCAGTAATCATCACCATCCTTTCTCCTAAATTAGGGGAGTTTTACAGAACAGTGTTATAACATACATGCTTTATTATCTGGATTTGAATCAGCTCCATTCAAACAATGTTAAGTCACATTGGAATGAGATGTTAGCAAAGACATAATGAGTCAGACTAAATCCACAGAAGCACCACAGAGTGATACACATATGTACTCAATATCGGTGTCATCTGCCCATGTCTAATAAAGGCCATAGTGTATAAGTCTGACATAAAGGGCACCTTATTCTGAAAATGCTCACACAGAATTTCTGAACTGTTCTTTGCAATGTGAGATCTCTTGGGAAGCCTCAAACCTTCCAGGAACATATTTTTATCAATAAAATATAGCTTCAGTGGATTCTCAAGGTAAAAGAAAGGGAGAGAACATTCTCCAAGGAATCTGGGTTTCCAGCTGGTGCCATGGTGTGCTGTGATTCCCATACCCACATCAGTGTGTGAAGGCAGGAAAATCAGGTCTGAGGAAGGGCAAGCAACAGTAGTGCCCTCTCAGATCCACACAGGCTGCATGGGATGACCATAGCCCCACCGCTGACTGTCGCCAGCTGCTGCCTAACCCAGGATACACAAGCCACGAGGGGATGACATCCTCCTGAGCCTGTCTTCCCAAGTATCTTCAAGGGATCACAATCACTGTCAAACACAGTCTCTAGAGGGCACACACTGGGTGTGTCTGTTGGACAAGGCTGGGGCATCCATAAAGGCACTCACCTCATGGAATGGGAGGCAAATCACGGCTGTGTCCACTACCCAGACCTCAGGGAGGTCAGTGCAACCCGGTGGATCTGACAAACAACTGTCCCATCTCCTCTTCCTGGTGTACGCAGTAAGCTCATAGACGCAGACCTGATGTGTGAAAGTCAGGGAGCTGTCTGAGTTCCTGTGACTTCAAAGGACTCCATGTTTGAGTGTTTTTTTTTTTTTCTACTCTGTAGTGTTCCTGAGATGACCACTGAGCCATACTGATTCCATTTTACAACATATGCATTGAACTCAGAGTCGGGCAGGTCCAGCTCCAAGACCTCAGAGACAACTTACCCCGATCTCCCTTTTTAAATTGCACCATGCTCCCTATGTTGGTCATCTCTCCCCTCTTCTTCAGCTTTCTGCATAGAGTTTCAAGCCTTCTCCCATTCTGTGCATTTGAACTCCTTGCTTTATGTGATGCTGGGTCCCTGTGCTAGATTATATGCCCATGTTTTGTTCAACTGCATTTGTATCCGCTGCTTATGTCACTAACAGATTTTCTGAGATTTACACATAAGTATTTCACTTTTCCTTTTTTCTTAATTTTTAAATTTTTATTTTAATAAGTTTTTAACTTTGTATATACAATTCTAAAAACATAATGATATCACTTCCTTCTCCCCTCCCTTCCTCATTCCTCCCACTGGCCTTCCTTCTCCTTTTCTTTTTTTTATTTTTAACATATTTTAAATTTACATCAAAGTGTAATGCTTAATACTTCACTGAATAAGAAGTTAAATAAGTAAAAAGCAAAAAAGAACCTAGTTAGTGGAAATATAGGCAATGGCTATAAACAATAATTGAAAGGAAAAATGACCATTTCACCCACATTCAGCAATTTTTAAAGTAATCACAGATCATTAAACTACAATAAACTACAATGGCATTCTTAACCATTGCTTTGACAAAATAATAAAAGAAAGTTTTATAAAACTGTATTTACAGCTATACTGATACAGACATTTCTTACTTTTTACTTTTTTCTTCTACTTTTTGTTTTTTTTCAAACTTTTAGCTACAGCATATAATGGAGAACATGCAGTAGCTGTTTTCCTGGGCCCAGTTTATTTCACTCAACATGATGTCCTCCAGTTGAACCCATTTTGCTACAAATAGCAGAATTTCATTCCATTTCATAACTGAATAACATTCCACTGTGTATATATACCACATTTTATTTATCCATTCATCTGATGATGGGCACCTTGATTGGTTCCAGATTTTGGCTGTTGTGAACAGTGCTGCTATTGACATTGAGATGCAGGTATCACTTTGATATATAGTGTTAAAATCTTTTGGGTTTATTACCAATAATTGGATTGTTGGATCATATGGCAAGTCTATTTCTAGCTTTTAAGAAATTTCCACACTGCTTTCCACAGTGGCTACACTAATTTTCATCCCCACCAACAATGTATAAGTGTTCCCAGTTGTCTACATCCTTGCCAGCATTTGTTACTCTGTGTTTTGATTTTAGCCATTCTGAGAGAAGTGAGGTGATATCTCATTGTGGCTTTGATTTGCATTTCCTTGAAGACTAGTGATGTTGAACATTTTTTCATATATCGGTTGGCCGATTGTATCTGAAATCTGAACTAAGAATGGGTAGAAGTTAGATCATCAGTCTTGCCTACCCTCCAATATCATATGTACCTAAAATGTGCAATTATCTTTGCTGTACTTCAGAAATAAGGTGAGAATATTCAGCCCCATTTCATGAATATTACGAAGAAGCTGAACTTTACATACAAAACAGTAATATTTTTATTTCTCCTCAGTATCGCAGAAATGCCATGGGCACATGCTGGTGTGTAATTACCAACCACAAAAAATACTGTCTTAAAACTACACACATTTTACCTTCCACCACAAAGCATCAGTAGGAGTGATGCTGCTTTTCAATGAATCTCACAGACTATCATAAGTCACTGGAATTCTCAGACCCCACAGCACATCATGGGTGGCATTCTGGGAAAGTGAAACCCATTTGGATGGCACCAGCTGATCCCACAAGGTTGTGGTGTAGATGACACTACCTGGGACCACGGCACCCCAGCCCAAAAGTTCATTAAGGAAAATAGTTGTCTAACCACAATCAGAGACATCAATGAATCTCATGTTGACTATACAACCTACTCCTGCTGCTACCAAGGATATGAACCTTAGCAAGCCCCTAGTTCACGCATGGAATCCCTGGCATTCGCAATGCTGCTTCCCTTAGCTCCTGTTCTCTGCATCCCTCACAGATGACTCAGACATTGCTCTTTGCTGAGATCCCCAGTCACCTTACTTGTAGCCCAATTGGCTATAATCCCATTGCAAGGAAACCACAAGGACAAGCCACTTTGTGAGGCTTCCCTATGAGTTGTGCAAAGCAGTGGACTTACTTCCTCATAGTGTCGCTGTCTCCTGTCTGGTAGAGAAACACCTAAAGGTTGCAGTGTGTGCAGTGGGCAGAGAGTCTGTGCCTATTACAGCTTCTGTTTCCAACTGGAGGTTAGTATGACAAAGGGGCCTTCCCCACATGCATACACCACCACTTCTTGTACCTTCACACACATCCACCAGGACTCCATAGGTGATCACTAAATCCCTAGATGCCAATAATATCACCTGCCTCTTGTTTCTCCCAAGTACCCCAAATTGCCAATTTGCTGGGCAGAGACTGTGCCAACTTCTTCAAATGTTGAAGTTGCTTAGTCCACCATAAAATGAACTCACTGTTCTCATAGGATGAGAGCCTACCCCAGAATTTAGTACACCCATCACTGTTATAAGCCTTGAGACACCTCACATCTCCTTGGTTTGGATGTGGACAATTTGTCTCTCAGTCAGCTGCACCCAGTCCCTCACAGATGATACCTCCCAACTTCCATAAAGACCAGAGCCATCCTGAGTCTCTGTCTTTGTGCAGAAGATGGCATGAGCATCCTGGTGACCACATTGACTGTGGGCTAGTGCACAATGCACCATTGCCTTGTCACCATCCATTCATTCCTCATTTTCCCAAAACCTGTGCTACTCAGTTCACGGTGAGGAGGAACTACAAAGTGAAATGTGGCACATTCTGAAAAGTGCACTGGTCTTCTAGACAATAACGGGTGGGCCTCATGAGATGAAGCCTGTGCATCCCAGGTCCCAGGCACATGTGCTCATCCCAGTCATGTTGGATACAGTTTAGTCAGCTTGTGTTGGTGTGGATACCAGGTCTTTGAGCTGTCACACTGACAGCCTGGTACAGGACACATAAAGTATCATGCAGTGATCTCTTGGACCTTGGCCCAGATGATCCTAGAAAACTTTTTAGCCCAGACCTGACCCATCTCTTTTTCAAGCAAGGAGAGGATTGCCTCTTCCAGGGTTCTGCATGATGTTTGCATATCAATAACTCAGAGAGAATCCAGTAAAGCTATTGCCATGTAGCTACACATCTGGAGTTAGTACACAGTCTACTGAGTAGTTCTTCAACATACTCCGATACAGAGCACATTTGATTCACTTTCCTGGGTTGACCCCAGGTCCTGGGGAGGCTGATGGAGAACTCATTCAAATGCTCTGGGTGTGCACTGGTATTTTCACCCTGGTCTCCTTAACAGGGTATATACTGTAAAGTGCAGGTCCAGGGTTTCCAGCATACATTAAAACTCCCTTACTCCAAGAGATTCAGCCTGGGAAATGGCTTAGGCACCATGGGTCAGCCCTACTAAGAGTGCTGGAGAAACCATAGTCATTGCTGCCTGGGCCTGGGCAAGGCTGACCAAGGCAGATGTGAAGTTCACTGCTGAGCCCTGTCCTACCGCACCTTCACATAAACTGCCCAACTGTCCTTGTCCCAGAGTTGTTTGATTGCCCAACAGGAAGTAGTTCTGTAAAATTAGGACATCTCGCCCCAGGAGATCCTTAAATAGGAGAAGTCCTATGCTGCATGTGTGTGGTGCCTGCTGCTCCGGGAGGCCTGGGTCAGAGGACTGCTGCCTGCCCCTCTCTGCTCATTCCATACAGCCTGTAAGTACTCTGTGGTGGTGATGGTTTTGTCATTGCAGCCCAGCATCAACCTGACCCCTCAAGGTAAGGCTTACAGTGGTGGAACCCAAGCCTGTAGAGCCCGTGCTGTTCTCCTACTGTGGGCCTCTGGTGGGTGCTGGAGACAGGAGCCGCCAGGTGGGCTAATAGAGAATCTCAAGAAGTTTGTCCAAACATACATATTTTACTTGCCCAGTGGACACAACAGCAGCTTCTTCAAGAGATCTTTTATTTCACAGAATGTCCATTCAGGATCTTTGTGATTTTCCTACCAGGTTGTATGCTTTTGGCTATTGAGTTCTTTAAATTAGTTCTGTACTTTGCATGTTAACTTTCATCAGAGGTGTGGATTGCAAATACTTTACACCTGTCCCTAGGTTGCTCACCCCCACTCACTTGGAATCCTGCTCTCCCCTCCTCCAGGTGCCTCCCAGCCATGAGGACCCTCGCTCTGCTTGCTGCCATTCTCCTGGTGGCCCTGCAGGCCCAGGCTGAGCACGTTTCAGTGAGCATCGATGAAGTCGTAGACCAGCAGCCCCCACAGGCAGAGGATCAGGACGTGGCCATCTACGTTAAAGAGCATGAGAGCTCCGCTCTTGAAGCTTTAGGTGAGAGATGCAGCACGGCAGAGCTGCACAGACTCAGGGGAGGAGCGGGACACGGGCCCTGGGACAGCCTGGGAGAGCAACTGAGATGATTCCACATAACCTCCCAGACCCACAATTTCTCAACTGCAAAGTGAGCATGGCAAGCCCAATGAATCTGGCACGTTCTGCAAAGACTCCTGAATGTGAGAGATGTGTGTGGTATTCTCTAGGTTTAAACATGGACAGACTCATTACTGATTTGTCTGTATCTAAATGTGCAGAATTCTTGGAGAGGAGCATATTGAATACAGTCTATAAGAGGAGGTTTAGAATCTGGAGGCAGGAGCAAGGCTGTGCTCAGATGCGTGTGTGATGGGGCCAGAGCACACAGAAGTGAAGACACTGAGAATGAGTCTCGGGTTCTGTGGGACCAGCCCTTGCTGTGGCTATTTATTGTCTGTGCTGGCAGCTCTACAGCAGCCAACCTAATGAGCCTACTCACCACATGAGTAGCTTCTGTAGCGTACCCTTGCCACCCTGTATGACTCCCATGTTCAATGCTTGATGGGCCCCCTCTGTCCACAGGTGTAAAGGCAGGTGTGGTCTGTGCGTGCAGACGAGCCCTCTGTTTGCCTCGGGAACGTCGTGCTGGGTTCTGCAGAATCCGTGGAAGAATCCACCCACTCTGCTGCCGCCGCTAAGCATGAAAAGCAGAAAAAAAAGCAAGTTCCTTATTTGCCTTGAAACCTCAAGTGAACATGTTTTGACTACTGAGCCTTCCCCATCCTTTCCTATCCTAGTAAAGTGCTTGTAATGAATGCTGTTAAGTGTGTGCTCCTTTGATGCTCAGGTGTGTGTTATTCCAGACTCCTAAAGTGCAAGTCCCAAAACTCTTCTAAGTAAAACTCTGGTGCCAAATTCGAGGCTGAACTGAGTTGAACTCTGGCTTCAGGCAGAAAGTGATCAGAAAGCCCCAATCTGGTTCTGCTCTCTCTACTGACCTCTATTTTGTCTTCCGTCAGTCTACATTCAGATGAGCTCCACTCCCAAAGACATTCCCCAAGTGTAAGGCTTAGCAATTCTTACCAGTTTATGTTCATGAAAAACCACCATCCTCTAACTCAAACTGTCGTAGTTATACTGAAAAGATTCTGGTTAATTATATGACTTTTAATGTCTTTGATGATTCAGCTCCACTGATTAGAACAGGTTATTGGCCATGAGGAGAAAAATAGCACGGGAGCATCACACTGTGATCAATTTGTGTCTATATTTTCCACTCCTTCTAGTAAATGCTACCTTTCATACACAGAATGCACACTCACCATTCCTTCACTGCGCTTTGTGACATGGGCTCCTAATTAAATTTAAGATGATGGGAACCAATTACTTTCGATAAAATACAGCTTCAAAAGGACACCCAGGAAATTAAAGAGACAGAGAGTTCTGTAAGCAACCTGGGGTTCCTGTTGTAGTCACCGGTTTCTGAGGTTCTGATGCCAAACACCATGCACATCTGTAAGTTAGGGCGAAAATGCAGATCTGAGCAAAGTTCAGAGGATGCACAGTCTGCCCTGGAACAGCCACAGCACATCCCTGCTGCTACACCTCCATGCCACTCCAAGAATGCATGAAGAAGACTGCCTTCTTCCCAACCTGTCTTCTGTTCCATCCCAAGAAGTCATGGTCACTGACAAGCACGTGTCTGTGAAGCCCCAAGTGAACATCAGTGTGGGACATCCTTGTCCTTTCCTCCTCCTGGCCTCTCTTTTCTCCACAAGAAACTCACTAACCTTCAGACACTAATGCATCATTTCTGAAAAACACCCATCAGGATGTGACCACAAAGTCCTTTGGAGGAATCCTACACTGAGCCCCAGAATTATTGTATTTACTCTTTATCTAGGACTTCCTATTTGTGATTCTGCACTACATGCTTGGGAAAAGAATATGTTAGCAGCACCCTTCTTATTATCTCAAGAAGTCTATGAGTGATGGAAAGACTACAGTTTGCACAGAAAGGCACATTTTATAGTGTATCATTCAGTCATCATTCTTGACTAAAACACTCTGCTGCGCCGATACACCGGTGTGATAAGTAGCACCAACAACACATGCTGAGACCCCAGGAGAAGGGAGCTGGTCTTCTCCATGCCCACTCCCCCTTGAGCCTGGGGTGTGTCACAGCCCCAGATGGAACATGTGTGTGTGAGAAGCCAGCACAGGATTCCTGCAGCCCTGGGAGACACTCTGTGGCTGGGGATGAATTCACAATCCAGATTCCTCAGAGAGGTCAGAGTCAGTCTGTGGTTCTGTCCCAGAAATGAACCAGTTCTTCCTCCTTGTGTAGCTGGTGAATCTCAAACACTGGGATTTGTAGTGAGGTCCAGGAAGCCTGTCTTGAGTTCCTCTAACTGCCACTGATTTGAAGTTTTGCTGTCTTTAATCAGTTCTCTCTATTGTCCTAAACCATCATCTGGTCTCTCTGACTTGATTGCAGAGCATCCGCCCAAAACTCAGTGCATCTGGCTCTATCACCCAGTTCCTGGGGTCTTGGCAAAAGCTCACCTTGACACAAATGGTGGTGATCATCATCCCATTTTTCTCTTTACTTTTCTAAATAAATGTCACAGTCTAGACATCTTAATTTTTTGGGCAGTATCACAAAAATACCATATACCATGAAATTTAAACTACACAAATTCATTTCTCACAGCTAGGCAGGCTGGAGAGTCCATGATGAGCTGTGGCAGATACTGATGGTGGCTGAGGACAAGCAGCATACTGGGCCTTTCTTGGACAGCAATCCATCCCACTCGTGGGGGCCCTGATTGTACCCTCATCTGCACTGGTGTGCACAGCCATGTCAGAGATCTGGCCCAAAGAAGGGAGATTAATTCCTGCTGGGTGGCTCTGGGCCAGGTTTTCTGGTCATTCAGAGATATGGGCCAGTGCTGGGGCTGTGTGTTGGACATCAGTGGCAATGGTGCTCCTGCCCACAGGAACCAGGACTGTGAGGCAAGGAGGCAGCTCCACTCCTAAGCATCCTGCCTCATGAAGACTGCTCTGAGCCCCTGGTTCCTAAAACCTTTGGATGTAGTATGCAGACTGGTGGAAATGGAGCCATTCGTGGCAAGGAGATACTGTATATTTCATATAAATTTCTTTGGTAATTTTATTAGAAAAATATATGCACAGGGGCCAGCGCTGCGGCACAGTGGGTTAACGCCCTGGCCTGAAGCACCAGCATCCCATAAGGGCACTGGTTCTAGTCCCGGCTGTTCCTCTCCTGATCCAGCTCTCTGCTATGGCCTGGGAAAGCAGTAGAAGATGGTCCAAGTCCTCAGGCCCCTGCATCCACACGGGAGATCTGGAAGAAGCTCTTGGCTCCTGGATCCTGGCTCATGGGTTCAGATCAGCACAGCTCCAGCCATTGTGACCATCTGGAAAGTAAACCAGCGCATGGAAGACCTCTCTCTCTGTCTCTACCTCTCCCTGTAACTCTGTCTTTCAAATAAATAAAATACATCTTTAAAAAAGAGGAAAAAATATATGCACAATGCAAATTGAAATACTGATAATAATGTTAAAAATTGGTTACTTATATATCTCATATGTTAAATTACCTCATAATATATATATTAATATTCATATTGTATACCATATATAATTGTGTGTAGTTTTTATATTTCTATATTAGTTCATAGGCACAATATAAATATATAAATAGAGGTCATGTGTTAATAAAAATATGATATTCAATTACGTGTTGGATATGTAATTCAATATTAATAAAACATAAGATACTACCTAAAATAACTACTACTTCCTATATATATAATTCAGGTTTAATTGCTTGTAATTCTTTCATTTAGAAATTTCTCCAGATCTAGGAAGCTGAATACACTTCTAAAGAGAACCAAAGAAGCCAGAGGTGCACCTGAAGGAAGAGACACTGGAGACTGAGGTCCTCACTAGCTGTCCGAGGTCAGCTCAGAGAGGCCCTGCCCACCTGAGAGGGGCCTGCACCCTCAGCCCAAGCGTGGCAGTCTTGGGAGTCCCCAGATCCCAGAGTTTCAGTCTCACTCTGGCTGCCCTCCTCCCCCGCTTCCTCACCAAGAGGACCTGCTCTGATCCTGCCCTAGTAACCTCCATCCTCACTCCCACCTCCACCTAGAGAGGATCCCTTCTCTGTCCCCTGATCTCCTTAGTGCAAGGCCCTGGATCTGGTTTCCCTGGTCAGGAAAAGGAAACTCTGCTAAGATATGGAAAGTTAGAAAACTTCTGTTATTAATCTGAGTACAAACTTAAGCTCAAACCCGACAGATAAAAATTGATGGGTTTGCTCACTGTCCAGTTGTCAAATCTCATCACACGTGTTTACACTTGCAATGATACATGTGAATGCTCACAAACTGTTTCACTTTATGGTTCTTGTTAAATCACTTTCAAGTTATTAATTTGATTTTAGTAAAAATAAATAGTCTCCTACATTACCTGAATGCTGAAATGATAACACGAGATTGTGCTGTTTTGATAAACTCAAAGCATTGTAACCTGAAAAGTTCAAACATCTTTTGTGGATAACTTTCGTTTTTCCTTAGAACACCAGCTTTGGGAATAATTCTGTAATAGCTGCACCTCTGGATCAGAGGAGCCGCTCAGCGAATTTGATTCTTCAGAGCAGGTGAGCCACCTGCTGGCCATGACGTGTTACTGTAGAGTAGTCTGCTCAAATATGGTGGACTCCCTGGTCTGTCTTGAATTGAGAACACACAGAGAGGGTGCACTCTTGGCCTGAAAAGACAGCATTCCCACAGAAACTCTGAGTGTTTGCTCCTGTGAGGGCTTAGACATGGGGATGGGGGTGATGTTAATAAGAGAAAGAGAGTGACCCGAGTTTAAGATCCTCATTACTGCAGATCATCTTGGAAGTCATTAACTCCTCAGGGACTGCAAGGCCTGATGGCTAACGTGAGGGGTTGTACTGATCTTGTGTTTCACTTGTTCATGCAAAACAGGATCCGAGAGCATTGAGCCCTTCACACCAGGGCTTGGACTTCAGTCCCTGCAAGTATGTGAGTATGGGGCAGGGAAAGGAGAGGAGGGAGAGAGGGAAACCATGAAACTCCCTAGTTGTCCTCCACACACTTGGAGGTTCTACTAACCTAGAATTCCCATGTGCACTGCTTGTTCCATCAGATTGCTGGGGTCAATGAATAGTTCATGTTACAGTGAAACACTGGTGAGCCTTCCCCTTCTCCCTGTGCCTTGGTAGTGATCAGTGGCCATGAGTGTTATATCCTCTCTTCTATTCCATTCAGAGCAGTCTGGTAAGGTAAACCATATAAAGCCAGATTAATCCTTTAGTCCAAGATGTTCAAATACATGAAAAGATATTTCCCTCATAGAAAGCTCAGAGTATCTAGGAAATACTCATAGGGGAAAATTTCCTCGTGACAGTGTTACTGTCTTCTCCATGAGTAAATGGAGCCAGGTCATAACTGTAGGTCACAATGGAATGCAGAATGTTAGCTGTGGGGGACAAGGTTAAGCAGAAACTTTCATGGGGGTTATAATATCACCTCACATTTGGGCAAATTCAAATAAAATTTCAAGTAAATATGAAATGCAGCCATTAGTGCACTAATGAGTGCAGTTAAAGAGTACCTTCAGAAGTGGCCATAGAGAGTTCCAGAATTCTTTCATTCTGTGTACATATCAGCAGTGGGATTCAGGAAAAACCTTATGCCATCACTTTTCTGAGGCCCTGGGAGAAGAAGACTCTGCCCTGGATCATGTGGTCCATGAACAGTCA